CACTCCGGATCTGGGACGGCGTTGGAACGACGGCCTGGCCGCCGATCTCGGCTTTCCGTTCTGCATTTCAATAGAGATTTTGCAGTGAATGGAGGGGGGGAAATTACTTGTTGCCAAGGGCACTTGCAAATGGACGTGTAACGATTGTCTTCGGATAAATCTGCTGGGGTTTCTCGGATGCCACGGTTTTTTTTTGCTCTGTTGGGGTACCTCGTCAGCAAAGTCGATCAAATAAGGGGAATTTTTGCAACGCCAACTTGAAGGCAGGGCAACACGCACACACGACGGCCAAAAGAAAAGTCTGAATTTAGAAAACTCGATTGCCGAATCGATGACACTAGCTCGCATCCCTGGTAGTACCGATAGATCTCTGTTAGAAGCTTTGTGTATGTTAAGTTAACATTATGCAGAAATTGGATTATTTCGCAACGATCAGTAAGCACTATAAGTGAAGCTTTTTGATTTCAAATTTACCGCAAAATTTCTTTGTTTATTTTATAACTTTTTATTTATTTTTATCTGCTGCTGAGCCCAGGTGAATATAAGATACTTAATAGAACTTCAAATGAGTTTTAACGGTTTGTCAATAACGCAATAAAACTTAAAACTTGGATAGATCTCATATTTATACTCTAAGTTAGAAATATGTAAATATTATAATGTAATACTATTTATAATATATTATAATAATATATCGTTCTGATTGGTATACAAATACAATTTCGTTGTGGAAGGTTTGGAATTGAGCTATTCATTTTCTGAGAACCCTGTCAACTGTAACATCGGATCCTATCGGCCTATCGATAGACTCAAGTCAGGGCTGAAGAAAATGCTGGCAAAAATTACAAGGAGTTCATTTTACGCTTCACGTGCGGTCGCTCGCTTGTCCGGTTTGATTCCAACGTCATCAGCGGCCCTCGCCAGCAATTGCAGATATATTCAGATAGAGCGAAAGCGCACGAAACCACACGAGATGGCTCTGTACGAAACCGTTGAGAAGGGCGCCAAGAATTCGCCGAGCTACAGCCTGTATTTCAGTGAGTAGACCATCGCATCGAGACCGAATGTGACCCGGCTTAACCCTTCGCTTCCGCATTTGCAAGTTACCCAAACTCGGTGCAGTTACTGCACATAGCATTAGTTGATCGCTACCTGACTGATTATGCAACAAGTCAAACCGGACTCTGCTTATTTAACTCGTCGCATTATCAGCGCTATCAGCCGATCCGATTTGTCTTGCGTCGGAAATGGCGGAAACACTAAGAGTTTCGGCCCCTTTGGCCTTATCTCTTAGCTTTATTGGCCAATATTCCAAATAGCAGATATCGAAACTGGTGGCCAAACTTCGGATTACTGGCACGCGAGCTAGTGACCTTTGTCTAGCCGTCAGGTCTCCGGTCACTATTAATCAAATCGCGTGTCCAGGTGTCGCCTATATATCAAAAATAATAATTTCTGGCCATTCTCCACAGAAAACAAGTGCGGCAATGTCATCTCGCCGATGCACGACATTCCACTGTACGCCAACGAGCAGAATACCATCTACAACATGGTCGTAGAGGTGCCACGTTGGACCAACGCCAAGATGGAGGTCGGTCTGCCTTTCATTGAGATACATACCCCTGATTAATCCAATAATTGCATGTCCGACCCTTAGATTAGCTTGAAGACCCCTATGAATCCCATCAAGCAGGACATCAAGAAGGGTAAGCTGCGGTTCGTGGCCAATTGCTTTCCGCACAAGGGCTACATCTGGAACTACGGAGCCCTGCCCCAGACCTGGGAGAACCCCGACCACATCGAGCCCTCCACCGGTTGCAAGGGAGACAACGATCCCATCGATGTCATCGAGATTGGCTACCGTGTGGCCAAGCGCGGCGACGTGCTGAAGGTCAAAGTGCTGGGCACCATTGCCTTGATTGACGAAGGCGAAACCGACTGGAAGATTATTGCCATCGATGTGAACGATCCGCTGGCTTCCAAGGTCAACGACATCGCCGATGTGGACCAGTACTTTCCGGGTCTGCTTCGTGCCACCGTTGAGTGGTTTAAGGTGGTTTGAATTAGATTTCCGGACGATTCTCTCTCTCTTACCCTTTGCATTTCACAGATCTACAAGATCCCCGATGGCAAGCCTGAGAATCAGTTTGCTTTCAACGGCGACGCCAAGAATGCGGACTTTGCCAACACCATCATTGCCGAGACCCACAAGTTCTGGCAGAACTTGGTGCACCAGAGCCCCGCTACCGGGTCCATCTCCACGTGGGTTAAATGCCATTCTATACCTTTCTAAAAAGCCTAACGAGATCCGTTTTGCAGCACCAACATCACCAACCGCAACTCGGAGCACATCATTCCCAAGGAGGAGGCCGAGAAGATACTGGCTGAGGCCCCCGATGGCGGTCAGGTCGAGGAGGTGGCTGACACAGGTAAGGTTTGCTATGTTAAATCGAGCTTATAGCTGCTTCACCCGATCCCAACCAAAAACACGCTACTCCAACACCCGCTTTAACCAGTAAATTGCAAAGAAATTGGTTACACAAACCCAACCTGCACGCTTACTAATAGCTACTTTAATTGTCCAGTTACCAAGCTAAATTAAGATTACCCCATGCTGTAAATACTGCTGAAACACAATTCATGTAATTGGCTGGCTTGCGTTTGTTAATCGTTGTACATATACATTATACTGAATGTGATCTTGAAATAAACCTTTATAAATCACGTCCTTTGTAATTGCAGTCGACACTTGGCATTTCATTCATCTCAAGTGAGATGTTCCCCTGGGCTGATTCCACCACAAGATCCACGATCTTTTTGTAGTCTAATCGAATCGAATCGAAAATGCTTGCACTTGTGAATTATTAATACTGAAATATATAGTACGTTGAATAAAGTTTTGCACCGCAATCAAATTCGCTGCCGACTCCTCTTGAAATATACAATCTTTATTTATATTTTACGACTAGATCCAAACAAGTTTAAATTAATTAATAGTTATGTAATTGTAGGGCATTAGCAATAGTACATAGAATCGAATCGAATTATGCCGTGTGGGGTTGCTCAGATGTGTTTTCCGTTCTATTGCAGGAGTGCATATGTGGGAAGGTGTGGAACGTAGAATTTATTGCCGTAACAAATTAACTTAAGCTTACGAAATAAAAGAAATGTACAAATTAGTTAGGCGTTATAAATATGTATATCAATCTTTAAAAGAAGACAAAAATAGTTATATACATCAGACATTTTGATTCTTGTTCGTTCGTTCGTTTGTTTGTTTGTTTCCCATATTTGTTTCTTGGCATAATTTTCCGCTTTTCTTCTGCGCGAAGAACTAAAAGAAATAAGCATAATTCACTACAACTAAAAGCTCCACGAGACTGTTTCATGACAGATGATGGTAGTAATATATAGACCAATTTTAACTTTCCGATATTAGTGCGGATACGTAGCGCGTAATAGTTTAGTAATTGTTTTCATAATTTTTTTTTCAACATTTTTGATCTGCTTTCTCTTGTAGCTAGATGTTAGCTTAGTTGTTTCTTTAAGTGGTACACATTCCTCGGGTCGATCGTTTCCTGGTTGCCATAGTTTCGTGCCGTGTTCTGCCACAGTTATCAATAATAATAGTTTTAGTTAATAGTTTATAGAATTAAGTAGCTGCTCGTGCCAGTGACGGTGCCAGAAAATCCCAGAGTTCGCTCTTTACTTGCGACCCAGGGTATCGCGCCATTCGTTGTACTTGTCCATCTCCTCGTGCAGCTGAAGAGCCTCTATGCAGGCGTTGAAGAAGGGCGATCCGAAGCATTCTTGCCTGTTTCAAAGACAAGAGGAAGGCGGATTAGGAAAACTCATATTTTCATTTGGATATATAACTTGCTCCAGAAAAAAGAGCCAAAATCTCAAAAGCCATATTTTCTCAAGCCCTACTTCAAAAAGGGCTAAAGTATGGTTGAATATAGCACAAAAATTATTGTTCAACCGATATGCTCAAAAAATACGAGCACAACAGTTAGAAAATTACTCAGAAACTTGAAAAACGAGTTTCGAAAAGTAAAGCATAGTTGGTCAAAATTCTTGGATATCATCTAGCTTGTGTACTAGGTAAGAAGCCAAGAATGCACAAGGTCAAAAATCAAATAATTAATTAAAAACAAAAGGAAATTATAACGTACCAAAACAAAAACGGTAAGCAGGCGTTTTTAGTCGCGCCAGAAACGCGCGCAAATCGCCAGCTGCAGTCTGTCCGTCTCTTTCGCCTCCTCTGTGGCGGTCTCTTTCTCTGGCGGGGTCTCTGGCATTCTCCGCCGCGTATTTAGCGATAAAGCATTCACTTTCTCGGGTCTCTGGGTCTCTGGTCGATCTGCGTCGCGCATTCGCATTCTAATTCTCATTTATCACAATTTTGATGCTCTCAAATAGCCAGCGAATGATTATCCTTTATTAATTTACAGGGGGTTTATTGGTATTATTTATTGCCACATTTGTAATGCAGTCGTACTTCGCGTGTTTTTACCAGGTTTTTGTTTGTGTCTTGCACAAATTGCGATCTTGCCTTTCTCTCTAACATTTAGCATGTGTGTAGGGTACTCGTATTCGGATACATGTAAGGCTTTAGCTTTAGATAGGTATGCATATACTATATAGGCAAATATCTCCTGTTTGCGCCAACAGATTTACACTAATTCAGGGTTTCATCTTTACAAAATAGCACAAAATTGTAAGTGTAATACATTTGCAAAATACTTTCGGTCTCGATTGCGGTGTATATATATGTGTGTGTGTGTGTGTGTGTGTAATGGGTTTATCTTTATCATTGTAGTTTTGCCCTTGCGGAAAATCGTGTAAAATGTAAACTCTAAATGCTGCTTTTACAGTAGAATACAGATACAAAAATAAAAGTTATCATTTTACATTACATAGATTAAAAACAATGGATTTCGTTTTGTTTATTTTATATACAAACCGCATAACGCAATAATAATAAAACAAGCTAAGAATACTTAAAAATAAATACTTCGGCTTCTATGTATATTTGGGGAGTGCGAGATCTGCGATCCTCCTCCTCATCATCATCATCATCATCATCATCATCATCGCCCATCTCTCACTCCCCGATTATGTTACTTACAACAAACGCATAACGTTCTCAATAAATTAATAAAAATAATTCGTTTTTAAAAAAACACATATAGTAAGAACTGTAAGGCATACAGTAATAAATAAGTACGAATTAAATTTGGGCGTTTTAATATTTTAGATTTCTGTGTTCTGGCTCTGCATTTGTGGTTGTAGTGGGACTGGATCTGGATCTGGATCTGCATTTCGATTTGGACTCGGATGCCCGTTCCAATCCACGATATTCGCAGCGATTCTCAACTGTGTGTGGTGTGTGGTGTATGGTGTGTGGTGTGTGGAGTGCGGTGTGTGGTGTGTGGTGCGGGTGTGTGGGCGGGGACTTAGAGTTATGTTTGCGGCCCCATGTTGAAGGATATGGGCGAGCCGTTCACTACTCTCAGAAAGTGCTGTAGGTTGGATATTTCCTCTTCGGGTATTAACAGCACTTTCAGGCATTCGCCAAACCATTTTGAATCAAAGCAGTCTTTCCTAAAATTGAAAACGAAAATCAAAATGAAACACAACGGTAAAGGTAACTGAAAGCAGTAAGAAATCAGGAAAATGAAGGCGTTGCGGAAACGAAAGCGGAAACGGAAGTGGAAACGAAACGGAAGTGGTCGAAGTAAGGAGTCTAGTGGTAGACGGGCTTGTGAAACGGATAGGGCGATCCGTTGATCACTTTCAGATAGTGCTGCAGCTGCGATATCTCTTCATCGTCGATCAGCAGCACCTTCAGGCAATCCCCGAAGGTCTCGTGGACGAAACAATTGGCCCTGCATCGAATAGACAAGAAACACAGATGTAGGAACAGATCTCGCACAGAGGGAAGTCAAACCAAAAAGTGGTAATCTTATTGCTATTGAAATGATAACAGGTTGAAAAATATAGTAGCGCTAAAATAGATCAAAGAGAGATGTAGACCAAATGGAAGAATTCAAATAGGCAGCGTTCTCTGTGCGAGAAGGTCGAGGAGAAAGCAGCGGGGAAAGCGCCCATAAAGTTCAGAAACAAGCGAAGGTCCGCGAGCATTTTCCGATACCCCGGCATTTGTGTCAGGGTCTGCCAGCACTTAAGATCATAATTATGGTTTTGTATGTTTCTTGGATGGCCTTGCCTTGGACGCTGTAGGGAACACTGATGCTGCTTTGGGGTTTTGTTAGATGTACGAGTATGTGGCTGCGGCCATGGCTGTGGCTGTGAAACCCTACGGAAACTTACTTGCATAATCGGTGTATACTCGTCTCGCGGAACAACTGGTAGCAGTCCTCGCAGATGCGGTCCAGTCGGAAGAACATGGTCTTGTTGAAGATGCCCTTGCACTCCAGGTCGAAGAAGTTGCTGCGCTTCGACAGGTTGTGGTTGTGTGGCAAGGCGGCGAAGATTGGTATCAGGACGAGAAACAGCACCACCGAGATCTTTATGTTGCGGGAACACATCTGCAAAAGTGTGGGAAACCGGAAACGCGTGTAAGAATAGATGTCTATTTATAGGTGCGATCGGATCAATTAACTGCCTGGGCCACCTCCCTGGCCAAGCAGATGTGGGCCAAGCCAACTCGATGCCGGCCCTCGGTCCTCGGCTCCTCGGTCCGCGTCGGCAACTCGCCGCCGCCAAAGGACAGGGGCAAGGGCAGCTCACCCAGGTGGCATCGAGCTGCTGCCCCATCGTGGAGACGGGGACGGAATGCCTATAAATAGACTCGTCCGACCGCCGTCTGCCGCCGACTGGCTAAAAATAGGCCCCCCATCCCATGCCATTCTCCACCCAAAGGTGCATTGCAATAGTGGCAACAGTTGCAGTCGATGCCGCAGACGATCTTATCGCAGGAGCGCTCTATAAATAGCAGCGGCTATTTCAATGTTTATTGCATTATTTGCAATCTGTCGGCGGACTTAATTTATGATGTAAGTCCGCCGCTTTGGCGGCTCAAAGGAGAGCCAATTTGCGGACGGACGGGCCCCCAAACCAGCCGCATTTGTTTACTTTGCATATTTTATCAATTTGCACGCCCGCCGCGAATTACAGCGATGACATACATACACATATGTATATACATACATATATGCAGTCGCATTCGTGGCATTCCGAACTATTGAATAATTTGATTAACAGCGCTTTTCGCAAATTTTTCCATTGCGCGCTGTGCCAATGGTTTGTTTGCACACGACGTGTACGACATGTGTGAAATTCCTTCGACCCCGGCTGAAAAATTGAAATGCTGAATGAAAACCAGGCAGACACTACGACGTCGGCTATTTCGAGAGCAAAGTATCAGCAACATGAAAGCGAATTTGTGCCGATAATGGTTTAAACATACGAGTACACTCGTACATATAAATACTTATATTGTTTTAGCGAGCGCTTTTCGGCTGTCGAATCTGATGAGGATCAGCGCGCTCTAAGATCTTTGGCAAATTGATTTTTTATTGCCTTGCTGATGGCTTCAATTAAGTTGAGCACATTTTTTCGCAGATTTATGGCCCCGGGATGGGTTGGGAAAACACCGAAATGGGAATGGCTGCCAATGGGAAATGGAATTCTTAGAAAGTTCATCAGTCGGCCGCCGATGGCCTAGCCGAAATATATATGCCTGCTTGTATGAATACTATATGAATATTCGCTATAAGTGAGTCTTCTCGCTAAAAAGTATGCTCCAGCAGGCTTTTTATTTGATATAATTCGCATTTGTTGGCAAGTATGACATCAAAGGCCCAGCAAGGAAACGGAAGTTTTCGATCTTTGATTTTTTTGAATGAGTTTTTATTGTGTCATAGTGATGTCGTATTCCAAATCTCGCCATGTGTCGTCACACTTAATTACTTTTTGCGTTTCTTCTATGAGTGGGCTCATTATGTGACAAAACAAGTGTTTCTAGATAAGCACATATTTTTGAAATGAATACAAATAACTCATTCTAAGCCATCATACCTCAGCTCATATGGGACATAACTTTTTTCTTATGTCGAAACTATATATAAATCAAGAGTAATACTTCCATCTGTCGTCATAGTCAACGGCTCGACGTTCTATCGCAAAATATTGGAACTCAATGAAGAATACTACTTCCTTTGCATGACTAGAACTTGGATGAGCTAGCGTCATCCCCAGACCTATGAACCCTTCTGCCCACCGAGCAAAGTACTCCCCACGCAAAAGGTGGACTGTGGTCGGCCGGGGAACCCTCTGCACCCGATGCAGGCCTATATAGCATATAGCACTCGATTCGTCAGGGATCCCGACGACGTCCCAGTGCAAAGTGCAACAGCTTGCGTACGGGCGACTCAGCTCGGCTCGATTTCCCCGATGGATTCGGATTTGGCTGTTGGCTGTTGGCGGTTGGCGGTTGGCTGTTCATCTGTGGGCTGAGCATCTGGTGATAATTGGCTTCGAGTTGCACGATTTATGGCATCATCGTCGCTGCAGGCGGCTATTTTTAACGCTCTTTGCCGGCGTGAGTGCCATAATTGATATGCGAACCGCGTCGAAGATAATGTAACATGGTCCGCGGAAAGGGGCTGCGGTATTGAACAAGGCGAGGGAAAGTTGGAGGAGCGGTCGAATGGATGATCCGGCGAATGGGCCGATCGAATGGCGTCATCATCGCAAGAAGGAGCCAATGAACGGCGTCATCTTTATCGATCTCCGATCTGCAGCACTGCTCGTGTACTCTGCCATCCTATAGGAGTATAGCTTCTCCGATCCGGCGACATGTGCTGGCAATTTGTTTGCATTTTACTTTGATTAGCTGCCAATTGATTTTATTTGTCGGCCGGCGCTTTGCATCAATTTCAATTTCAATTCGAGTTGAGTCGCAAGCGCGTCGCTCATACAAGTCATCCCATTATTCGACTTCCAGCCACTATCTATGTGTCCGTGTGCTCCATATGCCGTGTCTATATGCTATATGCTATATGCTGTATATACCACCGATTCATTGGAGCGGGGCGTACGCACGCCCCTCGATTCCCAATTGGCATCTCGCTAATGCTGTTGTTGATAGCCGCCTGATTGTACCCCATTCAGCTGAGATTTGATTGCTGTTTTCGCCGATGTTTTACTTGTCGCTGCTGCCAGGCGACATTGAATGAAGTCATAGCCAAAAATAATTATGCCAATTATGACGGACAGTCGGACATCGGACTGTGCCTTCTTTTTGCGCAATAGTTTATAATTATTGTGGCCGCTGCGGAATTTCGATGGGGCGGTATATGGTCGATATTTTATCGCTACAATTCTTGGCTCTACACGGGGTAAGTATAACTAAGACATACTAAGCCGCATTTCAAGGTCGACCCCTTTGAGCGGATCTTCTCCAGCGGCAGCCCCCTCAAAACGAGCTATTAATAGGCCAGAGCCTCTTATCAGTTCGCCGAGAAATCGTCTCGGTATGTGGTAAACGTTATCGTCGATATCGCCGTGCATTATTTGGATTGCACAGCGCCTGCAAAGCTGTGCATTCTATGCCAGATACCCCCGATTGCGATCTGCCACTCTTGCCACTCTTGCCACAAGTGCCACTAGTGCCTCTACTGTGTGTCTTAACGCTTGGCTACGCAAGCATGGCGAAGCCGGGAGCCAAAACATGAAGCACTGGCCCCTCGCTGTTTTTTACGGCCCAACTAAAGAGTGCTTGGACACGCAAAAACAACAGCACACCAGCGGCAGAACAACACCGAGGAGCATGTATAAACACTCATGGCGAGACTGCTTGGTACCAGCCACTATAGCCGAGCACACATGTACGCATCTCGAACTGGCTGGAACACATCGCCACACCGACTGGCTGCCACATCGGATCTCGATCTGCGCCGGCGCGGATCTCTAAGCGCTGCTGCTAATTTGATGGACATGCAGGAGTCCCGAGCTCAATTTGCATGATGTGTGTCTTCGATTAATATTCATGTATTCATGAAATCTCCGGGGAATGCGAAACAGGAAAGGCCCAGTGGAAAGCCGCGACTTGGTGGCCGGTTGAAGCCAGTGTGCACTGGAGAAAACGCTTCCAAAATCTTCCGCAGACACAACTCGCATGTCATCCACATAAATCTTCACTTGCATCACATGACTGGGATTTCATTTTGCTTAGCTATAAAAACACTCAACTCTTGCCTCTGCATGAGTGTGCATTTTTCGCTAATATAATTGTTGGTTTATTGATGTTGTTAAACTATCTTATTTTAAGGGAACAAGCTAATGGGCGTATCATTTAAAGGCAAACCTTGTGTTGCACCAAGACGCAACAGGTTGACTTAGCTAACTAGGCACTCACAGTGAATGCTGCCACAGCAGCGATTCTATGGCTTCCGTCCGAGTGGCGACCGCCGAGGGATGAGGAGGGCATGGCTCGGAGATCGGAGCCAAGTGATCTGAATGTGTGTGTGGATATCCAATTGATATTATTGAGATTAATGGCGAGTGGCAAACAGCAAATAGCGAATGGCGAATGGCGAATGGACGCTCCGTTTTGCAACAGATCTCGGCGTCTGCCAAAAGGCAATTGGCCGCGCACTTGGCCCGCTTGCCGCGCGTTTTTCTTAAGACTGGGGCAAACAATCGCGGTGTTTGGACAGCGATGACACAAGCGAGTCGAGTCGGCAAACAGCACGAGGTGCCCCAACCGAGGAGCCAAATAAAGGGTGAAAAACGAAACGGGAGCGACGCGCGAGCAGTCAACTTTTGTTGCCAGCTCGAAAACAAAACTGAAGACCGCGATCGGCTGTTGAGGCTGCTGTGGCTGTTGTGGCTGTTGAGGTTGACTACAGCTGCCGCTTGGCTTATCAGGCGGCCCACACAGATACTCACGCACACAGCCAGGCGCAGCCGACGACAGCGAGTCTGGCGCAAAGGTATCTGGCTAGCGCTCGAGTATCTGAGAGATCGCCGCCGCTGAGAGAGCGAGTGGAACACCCAGGCGTATACGTGATGTGCATGCTTATCACTCGGCCAAGCCAGCAAAAGCCGTTAAGAAAAAATCAGTGGAGAGCGGCACTTGTCCTGGCACGCTGATGGAATATCTAATATCGCCATTACCAAACTAGTTTGGCCCCGCCTTTGCCAGCTTGCCAGCTTGCCCCTTTCCCCGTCCCCCTGAATTAATCAGCCATAAAAACGAGTGGCTGCAACTAAATTTTCCACCTGCAGTGGAATTTTCTCAGCCGATTCTACCTGGCAGAAAGAGTTCAGCCCCAAGTGACTAAGCGGCCGAGATAATTGTCATAAGTGAAGTAATTTCCGCAAGTTCTTTGAATAAATTGCCCACAAGTCGTTTTTGTTTTTACGACGCCTTATAATCTCGGCAATAAAGGCGTTTAAGCCGTTTTGAGGAATTCGTTGCATACATTTGGGAGTTTTCTGGGAGCCGTATCAACAAGCTATTAAGTTATATCATGTGTATTTTTTTTAGGCAGTGCCATAAAATAAAGATTATTTTTGCTGT